ACACACACACACACACACACACACACACACACTCAGGGTGGGGAGGGGGCTGTCAGTGATTCCGACAATCTTCTTATTTCTGTCTAATGTTGATGTTTTTACGTCGCATCCACACTATTTAGATTATTTAGGAGGAGGGCTTCCGATCCTGTCTATCAGGGCCAACCCCGGCTAAGAGGGATACAACGTCCCAGCAGAAAAACTGTGATGCTCAATAAAAAAAACCCCACCCCGCTCAGGAATCGAACTCAGGTCTCCTGCGTGCGACAGCGAAGCACCTAACCACTGCATCATAGTCACCGCTTGCTCAACAGTCTGCACTTGACAGATTTTAGTTTTAGTAGAGTTTTACGGCACTTGCAACACATAAAGGTCATATAAGTTATAAGTGCCGAAGATTAGAGGTGTTACAAGAGAGTTACGAACAAAACAAAAAAAGGAAGGAGGAGAGATAAGGACGATAGATGTTTGGAAAGAAGGTGCAAATCTCGCCATAGCACCCGCCAACCACCCACTAGCCTGGTTTAAGGTCCCATATGTTGGTTGCTATGGCAACCACCCAGCTCGTCATCTGTCCCCGCCTCCTCCCCCCCTTCCCCACATCCACCCTTCCCCTATCGCTCGCTCTGTTAGCTTTGTTGTAGAAAAAGTAGAAAAGTCAAACTATTAACATATTTTAAATATATTGCTTCATGATACTCGACTAACTCTAAACACGCAACATACGGTAAAAATCATCTCCTGGTTTTACAACGAGATTTTTTAAAACGAAGTTACTCGCACCGTCGTAATTTATGACGTGTACAGGAATGCGTGAATAATTGTTCCTTAATTCTGCTCACGTCGTAAACGCACCAGGAAGCTGTCTGCGCTCTCACTCACGCGATCGATAAACACATACATAGATCTACATGCACGGTACATATTGTGTACGGCTGGGAGTGAGTAAAAGTATGCAATCCTTTCAGCACGTTGTGAGCAGTTGTACCACATGTTTTTACATGTGGGCTTTTTTCAACCTGTCTGTCAGTGACATTCAGGTATGAGCAGGACATAGTGTCCAGACACACACACACAC